TTAACTTTGTTTTAATGTCATGCAGATGGATCAGGAGAGACTTAGGAAGATTGCCAGTGCTGTCCGCACTGGTGGAAAGGGTACAATGAGAAGGTAATTCTGTAATTTTATTGCAATTTTCCTCTTGTCTGTTCTATTGCTGTAACGATTTCAGCCTGTAAGGTGATGATATTGAAGCTTGGATTTCAGACCTTCATTTTAGAGGACAATGAGCTACCTGAAATCTGATAACCTTTAACCTTATCAGTCTGGCCTGACCAATTTTGAAGTTTTAAATAGTTACACCTCTTCTATAAGGTTATGCAATAGCGAATACTGATGACACCATCTTGGTTACCTTGCACTTGATAAGTTATTTCTTGTCGTTCATTTCCCATTGTCTTTTATTTGTCATAAAATATATAGTTTTAACTGTCGTAAACTTGTAATTTCTAAAATGAAATTCATTTTAAGATGTTCTCGTTTTATTCCATCAGTTGAATTTTTATTTTCAATCACATTCTCTTGATAATAGAAAGAAGAAGGCAGTTCACAAGACCACCACAACTGATGATAAAAGGCTTCAGAGCACCCTAAAGAGAATTGGTGTGAATGCCATTCCTGCTATTGAGGAGGTCAACATTTTCAAGGACGATGTTGTTATCCAATTCGTCAACCCTAAGGGTAAATTCTTATACAATTTTTGTACTTCATCCTTGTTGCGCTACATTCTTTGATGACTCGTAACGTTACCTTTTAACTTTTTTCTTGTCCAGTTCAAGCATCTATTGCTGCAAACACCTGGGTTGTTAGTGGTTCTCCTCAAATAAAGAGTACGTATCTCTGTTAAACCATGTTGTAAATTTAGTATGGTGACTGGTGCAGATTGTTTTCTTTCCAGTGCTTGAATATAATAAATTCATATACTGGACATCCTTTGGAGGCATCTTGGGGAGTATTAATTCTTCAAAAGGAAAATTTTTTGGGCAGTAGGAACATGGCTACAGGGAAATAATGTTCTTGGGCCCTGTTAGATCTAATTAGTTTTAAATGCATTTGATTAGTTTTCATGTTATCTATTTCGTTTCTTTTATACTAGTGCTGCTAAGTAGCTCTACCTAATTGAAACCCCCCATCTTCGTACCAACCTTGTATTATATGTCTTACTGTTCGAAAGCATTGTTAATTTTGTCCATCATGCATATGGTGATGTTCATGGGAAAAATGTTTTCTGATCTAACTATTTATGCATTTTGCAATTACAGAATTACAGGACATCTTGCCTGGCATCATCAATCAATTGGGTAATTCATCTCTTTAGTTTTTTGTCCTACGGTTAGATTTCAATTGGTTTGGTGAACTTAAAAATGATGTCTTTTTTATCCAATTATCCTCAGGGCCAGACAACTTGGACAACTTGAGAAAATTGGCTGAGCAGTTTAAACAGCATGCACCTGGAGCAGGTGCTGATGCAAAGAATGCACAAGAGGAGGATGACGATGTTCCAGAACTTGTTGATGGGGAGACTTTTGAAGCTCCTGCAGAAGAAAATCGGGCATCCTAGAGGAGTGATCCTTTCGAATGAGTGTTTTATGCCGTTTTATACTTCTAGAATTGCTTCAGACGAGTTTTTATGATTTCGATAATTCTTAATCTTATCATAATTTAACTTGTTCTCTATATGATGGAGGAACGGTACTTTCTGTGTTTGTTTCATGCCTGCCATACTCTTAAATCTTCCAATGATCCTTCTAATCCGCAGTATACACAAAGTTGCAGCAGAGATTTTTGCAATCCATCATTCTATTTGGATGTTTATGACGTTCAATTAGAACAATTCATGGGCATTTGCTTCCTAAAATTACCACTGGGGATATGATGATACATTCAATGCCGAGTATCGAAATTTGGTTTAACTTTGTGGTTACTGAGACAGAGGTATGAATTTGTTCTCCCATGTTCGTTTGTGTACCTTAAATTGCTTAGGAACAAATTCAAAAGTGTTCTTATGTATGGTTGTAGAGGCCTCAGAAATGGAACTAGTTGAATTTTGTGACATTTTAGAAAGGGCACATGAAATGATATGTTAGGCACATTCCCTGGGTAATTCCGTGAACCTCACAGAATCTTTGCAATAATCGTATACCAAATGCCTTGCACGAACCCACTTGAGTTGGTGTGCTTTGTGCCTGGTTAGCCCTCTTAACGATGGCTTGTCCCACCAGAATTGGCTTGGCATCCCACACTTGGCCTCTGCATCCTCCTCTGGCTCCAATTCGCAGGCTTTAATGTCAAAAGATCGAAATGTAGCCACAAATGGCGCGTTGCTCCAATTGGTTTTAACTCTTCCTCCTTGTGTCGCCCAGTCATCCGCATTCCATATGGAACCTCTAACGCCCATGGCTTGGTTTCTGGGGTATGCCACACCGCTTTCTTCTTTGTTCTCAAACACTCTTATGGGAATATTGTCAACTAGAAACCTATCAATACTAACTTATTAACACTTTTACAAGTGGGAGATTCCATTCCACATCCATTAAACTAGAGCATGGTTGCTTCCTAAACTACCTTTAAAGTATTTGATGGTTAATGTTAGACGAAAAGTCTAAGGGATCATTTTAAGAATTTGTAATGATGATGTTTAAACGCTTGATTTTTCGTCCAACATTCTTTGTCAATGCTAATATCCTAACTTTTGATTTGAAAGATTAGGAAGGAGTTTTAGAATTTAACCCAAATAAAAAACATATATGGGTGTCATGATTTTTTGCTATGTTATATTATATAGATGGAAGTGAAAGTCACTCCAACAAAAAAAAAAAAAAAAAAA